TGGCCATGTTGCAAACTTGCATCAGCTCACTTTTCAATCTAAATACTTTTCAACAGTAAACGTTTTCAATATATTGTAAATTCTTAATGATATTAATTTTATGTATTGTATTTGATCATTGTAGCTTACACAGATGCTTGTAATGAACTAATGGCATAGTCGTTGATATTATCATGTTGTTGCTACACTTGCTGCATCAGAAGAAAGTTTCGCAAGATATTTAACATCACGGTATCTCTCGTCTTATTTTTACTCTTTGATTTAAGTTTTGTAATCTGAATTATATTTTTTATAAACCGCTAATCCGCCCGAACCGTCAAGGCAAATTCGTCATTATTTGCCAATCGAATCGCCGATTTTAGATAAAGAAAATAATAAATTCTAGTGACATTTTTATCAATCTGCCACCCGCCATACAATTTTTATTTTTCTCTCAAATCACACCAACCCGCACCGCGCACACCCCTAGTCACACATTATGGAAATGACCCAACTGAGTTCAAACTTTAACAAATAATTGTACGGTACTTGGTTTGAATATTTTGAGAAAGAGGCCAGGTGTAATAATTGTACTGTACTTGGTTTGAATGGTTTGACAGTTCACATTCAAAAACAGATCAGTTGTCTTGAATTCATCAATTAATGGAGAGGTGGACCGGAGAAAAAAAAAAAAAAAACTTTTCGTCTCGTAACTTGTCAGGTTATTTTGAAAAGTTAATAAAAAATTAATTTTTGATTTTTTATCAAATTTTTTAACTTTTTAAAAAGTGATTTGAAAAGTTAATAAAAAATTGACTTTTTACTTTTTAATTTAATATTTATTTATGATGTCAAATCAAATTAAAATGACGAAAATATTCTTGTCAAACTTTAAAATTCTACACAATTTGTTGATCTAGAGGGTATTTACGTAATTAGCCAACCTAGCTTTTTTATCACTTGGCAAATGCAACAATTGCCCAAAAAGCTAAGCCAACTTTTTTCTGAACCAACAAAAATGCGAGCGTTTTTGTCTCTTTCCAAAACGGCACTTAGTAATTGTAATCTGGAAATGTGAATGGGTAATATAGAAATATCAAATTTTTTATTAAATTAATGATCAAATATTTATGTGGCTATGGAGTCTATATTTATATAAGGTATTTAATTATTTATTTAATAAAAAATTTAAAATTTATAGCATTTTTTAATATCAATCTTTGTTCTACTTAAATTGGTAATGCTCCATTGACTAGGAAAAAAAATTAATTACATCAAAATCTTTTTCACTATTTGTGAATATTAACGTATTCTTTTTATTTATGAATTTGAATATTTTGTTCCCTTTAAATATGAAAATATATCATTTTTATTACTTTTAGAATATTTTTAAAAAGAGTATATTTATACGATTTTTAAAAATAGCATATTTTATAATTGACGAGATCAATAGGAACGGGTTCATAGATTTTTTTTTTTTTTTTTGATGACTCAGGTATCCCCACAGCCGAAGCATGGGACTAATCCTGAGGGCCCTGAAGTTAACGACCAGGCAAACCTCCAGTGGCCCGCACAGTAACCCGTGGGGAGTGGGATTCGAACTTGGGACCTCCAAGAGGAGCAAACTCCCAGACCCCAGGTTTTCTTCCCTCACCCACTGGGCCACCCTTACGGGTTCATAGATAATGGGATAAAGTCATATTAGTTACTAATTGAGGGAGTTTTAATGTAATTAATCTGGAAAAAAAAACGTAGAACGAGAATGGTCAAGTTAAGGGACAAAGAGAACAAAGCAAATCATTGGCCTTGTTTGGAAAGTTGACTATTTTAGTAAGCTATTTTAGTAGGTTAAAATTTTTGTGTTTAGGAAGTTTGTTTGATGTAATGTTTGTGAGAAAAAAAAAATAATTATGAATTTAATGTGACATTTTATCTTATTAATTATTTTAACATATGTTGATGGTAATAATATATATATGGAATGACTCGCCACGAACAATCGATATGCAGCTGAGCTTCCGTCACTCATCATCATGCATTGCCAACGCATGTTAATTTCATAATTCAAAATTAGGAAACAAAAAATGTGTCAGAAAGACAACAAGAGAAAAACAGTCCACAAAAGGTAAAATGGAAGGACAGCACTCGCCTTATAGACTTGAAAAAAATTCCAATTCATCATATATTTTTAGATTTTGCTTGAAAAGTGGGTTGACTTTTTAACTTTTAAATTTTTTTGACTATTTTAGTTTGGGTTAAAAGCTTGGTTTCAGAAGGATTTTTTAGTTTTTTGGCTTTTTTTACTTTTTTTGTGAGAGAAGAGTGTAATGATTATGAGTTGAATGTGATGTTTTGTTTGTTGTGACTAACATAACCTATTTTGTCTTTTATGACTAAAATAGCCAAAAAAGTCCACAACCTTTCCATATGAATAAAGTGATAAATTTATCATATATTTTAATTTTTATAATACTTGAGTCATATGAATAAAGTGATAAATTTATCATATATTTTCTATTACAATGTAGATTTTAATTTGTTTAGTTTATTCTCTATCTATATTAATTTTAATCATTTTAACTTTACTAAAATATATCAGTATGATTATGTCAACTTGTGAAGGTAATTGCATTTTTTCAAATCTAAGACCATTTTCAATCCTTCATTTGTTTCATCAAATTTAAATTTGATGAAAAATCATACAAAACTGATACTTTAACACTTCATCTTTTATTTCTCTAAATTGAGGATATCTCAAAATTTTCATCAAATTGAGGATGCTGGAACCTTTTACTAAATTACTGTAGAGAATCGTTAATTCTTGAGCACCGAACGATCGGCCGGATGTCCCCTTACTCGACCACCTCCTTGCAAGTTCTTTTAGAAAATTTGCACTGGTCGATCTACCGATGATTTAATGAAATCTCAAATCACTCTGTTGGAACATACAATATCATATCGGCCCTGTTTGGTGCAGCTTAAAAGCTGCTTATTTCAGCTTTCAGCTTAATTTAAGCTATTTTGATGTGTTTGGTTTAGCTTATAGCTTATAACTTATAGCTTTTTGGAAGTCAGAAATCAGCTTATTCTTTGAGTGGGGCAGAAGATGCTTAATTTATAAGTCAAAAATCAGCTTATGTTCATAGTTATGAGGTATAAGCTGTTTAAGTATAAGCTATAAGTACTTTCACATACCTCTACCAAACAGGGCCATCAAACTATTTTATTTATTTATCAAATGCAAGTAAAATTTGATAAAAAAATTTAAGTAAAGCGATAAAAATGCTCTAAGCAGAAATGAATGTAATTTATTTAAAATATAATGATATCACATACCAATATCACTGCCTAATGAATAATTTTACAAACAGGATTATAAAATGATTAAATGAATTAGAGATGAATCTTATTCACTTAGTCCTCGTTAGGTAAATATTTTAGAACTAAAAAAGTACAAAAAGATAAAATATGTTATATAAATTAATAAAATAAAATGTCATATCTAAACCATAATCATTACACTTTTTCTTTCATAAAAGTTAAAAAAGCCCAAAAACAAAAATTAAATGAGACTAAAAAAATCAAGTTAAAAAAATCTCAACACAAAAAAGTTGGCTAGCGCAGCCAATGTCAAAAGGTAGTGAGAGATCACTGTGGCTTCGTTTAGGAATTCAAGTTTGAGGCTTTTTTAGTTATTTTAATCACAAAAAATCAAATAGGTTTTTTAATCTAATAAGACAAAATATTATATTTAACCCATAATTATTACATTTTTTCTCTCATCAAAAAAGTCAAAAGTCCTTCCCAAGACTTTTTAGCCCCAGACGAAAATAGCTAAAAAAGTCAAAATACCAAAAAGTCAATCTACTTCCCAAACGAAGCCTATATAAAGGGAGTGCTTAGTTTTTTTTTTTTTTTTTTTTTTACTGAAATTCACAAAAAGATAAAATAAATTCAAATAATTAATAAGATAAAATATCACATCAAATTCATAATCATTTTTTTTCTTACAAATATCACATCTAATTATAAAAAATCTAATTATTGTTTTAAATATTAAAATTTTAACTTACTAAAATAATTAAAATAACCTACTAAAATTAGGGGTGTGCATAATACCGCCGAAACCGTCAAAACCGCACCGAACCACACAGCCAAGGCAAATTCGTTATTATTTGCCAATCGAACCGCTGATTTTTGGTAATAAAAATGGCAAATTCTAGCGACACTTTTATCAATCCGCCGGTTTCTATTTTTCTTCCAAATCTCGCCGACCCGCACCGCTATTAAATCATGTTTTATAAGATTCTAAAAATTCTTTTTTACTTAAGTTTGCTTGTTGTTCTATACCTTAGAATATAGTATTACATTACTGCTCGAGAGGAATTCAAGATGTCAGTAATCTAAAATAAAGTTGGATTCCAATTCATTTTTCAATTTTTTTTTTTTTTTGGCCATGTTGCAAACTTGTATCAGCTCACTTTTCAATCTAAATACTTTTCAACAGTAAACACTTTCAATATATTGTAAACCCTGAATGATATTAATTTTATGTATTGTATTTGATCATTGTAGCTTACACAGATGCTTGTAATGAACTGATGGCATAGTCGTTGATATTATCATGTTGTTGCTACACTTGTTACATCAGACGAAAGTTTCGCAAGATGCTTAATATCACGGTATCTCTCGTCTTGTTTGTACTCTTTGATTTAAATTTTGTAATTTAAATTATATTTTTTATAAACCGTCAATCCGCCCGAACCGCCAAAGCAAATTCGTCATTATTTGCCAACTGAACAGCCGATTTTGGATAAAAAAATGATAAATTTTAGTGACACTTTTATCAATTCATCATCCGTCATATGATTTCTATTTTTCTCTCAAACTGCACCGACCCGCACCGCACACACCTCTAACTAAAATAACGTGGCAAACACTCACAAAGCGATATTATTGTAGTGTCATTGTTATATATATATATATATATTAGAAAGTGTGTTTACTCCTATTATAATATTAGGGAGAACTTTTTAAATAAGTTGCAGTATCCACAAACACCATTACATCCAATCACAACCCACCACCTCCACGTCCACCTCCACCTCCAACACCGCCATCTCTCTCTCTGCATTTCTCTCTCTACTACTCTGTTTTTCCTCAGTGGATCTCCTTCTCTCTCTCTCCTCAAAGATTTTAACAATTTTTAGATTCATTCCTTGAAGCTTGCTCTCTTGTTGTTCCATTCTGGTAATATTTCCTAAGCTTTCTTTCTCTGTTCGTTTTTACTCGCAGACACAGACTTCAAGGAAAAAAAGCAAGAAAGCACCACCTGACTTTTCCTATCTTTTCTTTCACAAGCCCCAATTCCTCAGAATTCAGAATCTCCCTTTGTTTGCCATTTGGTGGTTTCCATTTTCCAGCTTTTGGGTACTCTCCCTTGTACTCTCCAAGTCCCACATGAACTGTCCTTTGCCATATATTCTCAGCTTTTCTCTCTCTCTCTCTCTCTCTCTCTCTCTCTCCTAGTTAGGATATCAAGAGGTTGAAGCTGAAGAAAACAGAGTGTCAAGTTTCCTCACTTATTAATTACCCTTCCTCTGTTTTAATTCTACAAGTCTCTATTTCAATTTCTTTCAATTTTTTCCCACTTTTTTTTTTTTTATCCTGGAAAGTTATGGGTTCAGAGCTCTGTGGGTAGTTCTAGGGTTTTTATTTTGTCTTAAGAGGAGATAATTCTTTTTGAACTCTGTTTTTCTTTAATTATTTCAATTTTTGGATACTTTCTCTCTGATTTTGAAAAGGTGGGTCTTTTCAAGATTCCTGAGGGAGGGTTGGCTATTGAGAAAAAGGGATTCCGATTCCTTGCAAATGCTTCTTGATTTAACACTGATATTGTTGCCATTGTAAAATCAAACTCCACCGCTGTGCATTTCTTGTCTCTTCTGCCTCTCTCTTGCTCACCATACTTCATTTTTCTCCCAGATGAATCTTCCATCCAAAATTGATCATTACTAGAGAGTATTAGTTGAGTATTTTGATGTGATGAGGTGGGGAATGGAGATTTTATCACCGGCATCGTATTTTCCGAGCTCGAATTGGTTGATTGAAGAGAGCAGGAGCACAAGATGGACACCAGCAGAGAACAAGATGTTTGAGAATGCTCTTGCGATTTTCGATAAGGACACACCGGAACGGTGGGATCGAGTGGCGGCAATGATACCAGGGAAGACGGTTGGGGATGTGATGAAGCAGTATAAGGAATTGGAAGATGATGTGAGCATTATTGAAGCAGGGTCGTTTCCAGGTCCTCATTGGTATAGTAGTACCTCCCCTTTTACATTGGAATGGGGAAACAACCATGGGTTTGGTGGATTCAAGCAGGGGTATGGGCCCGGTGGAAAGCGATCTTTATCGACTCGGCCTTCGGAACACGAGAGGAAGAAGGGGATCCCATGGACAGAAGAAGAGCATAAGTGAGTTTTCTAAACTTGAGTTCTTGTTTAATTGTGAAATTCAAGATATATAGAGTGAATTTTGAGAGTGAGGCCTATTGTTATAGCCTAATTTGGGTTGTTAACTGTCAAAATGTCAAAGTGGGCATAATTTGGTATAAACATAGCTAAAGAAAGGCAACTAAGTGCATGAGTCTGCTAAAGCGAGGTCTAGAGAGGGTACCATATATGCAGCCTTACTCCCATTTAACTGCAACAAGCACGTTCTTGTGATGAATTCATGACCAAAAAACCATTCTAATGACTATTTTCTTTACTCTATGGACTAATTGTCTAGGTTTCCAAGCTTAGATTCAACATTGGCTTAGTTTGGGTATTGGATAATTCTTTCTTTTCTTTTGGCTGAAGATAAGAGGTTAGTGGGTAAGTTAAATTGACATGGGTTTTGGATAATTCTTCATTGTAGGTTGTTTTTGTTGGGTCTTAAAAAGTATGGCAAGGGAGACTGGAGAAACATTTCGCGCAATTATGTGATGACCAGAACGCCAACGCAAGTGGCTAGCCACGCCCAAAAGTACTTCATCAGGCAGCTTTCGGGTGGAAAAGATAAGCGAAGAGCGAGCATTCATGACATAACAACTGTCAACCTCAACGACAACCAAACTCCTCCACCGGAGAATAAAAGGCCACCTCCTTCGCCAGACCACTCATCCGCGGTTTCCCAGCAGCCAAACGCTGCTTCAATGAACAGAACACAATTCCAATGGAATCAGCCCAATGGCGGTGGATCAACAATGGCTTTCGACACAACACTTGGAAACATGTTTATGCCTCCTCATGGGATCAACTCATATGGGCTTAAATTGCAGCCTCAGAATCTGCTGAAAAGTTCTATGCATGAATCTTATGTCGGATCCCAAAACATGGTATTTCCGATGCAATCCGCACATCACTTCCCGGGCTGATGAGATAGACGTAGTTGTTCTGAATATTCTCATCGGTTCAAAATGTATCATCTTTCATTCAGTTCTGTAGCTTGCTTGTGTTTGTGCATTTTTTTTTTTTGCGTGTGAATATGTTATTTGGCAATTGAGTTTTAGTCCTTAGTATTTGAGCTTGAGAGAGATAGAGAGAGACAGGATTATTGTTGGAACTCCAAATTATGAAATATGATAATGCCCAAACAAGACATTCTCAACACTTGGGAACTTAGGCTTTTCTTGCATCTAAACATTCAATACTTCAATGGCTTTGTTTTCGACTTGTAAGGTTTCCTCATAAGATATTTTGTAGTTTAAGGCTAGGGTTATGAAATTAAATTTGGATTTTCTTAATGTGATCTTCCAAATTTAGTGGTACAATTAAGAAATCCCAACCATCTGTCCAAAATTTAAAGGTTTAGATCATGTCAACTTGTAAAATAGTTGTTCATTCTTTCACACAGTTTTTCTCTACCACTCCCCCTCTTTTTCATCTAAGCCTTTCATTCTTTGACGGATGGGTGGTCTAGATTTTTCTAAGAGCAAATCTCAAGCAAGAAGCTCTATTTATTCTAGATATATGGCTGTTAAGTTAATGGGATCAAGACTAACTATATGGGCAATTGGGTATATTTTGTTAATTACTTGTTACTAGTGATATCCATTATCTTGTCAAAGATAGCCATTTATGTTTGATGTTTGTGATTTCAATCAAATCCATTACCCCAAACCATACAATACTTGAAGAAATTATATATAACTAATCAAGAGTGGATTTGGGATTCAATGATCATTTTGCTTAGTTATATTCCATTTTAAGTTCAGTTTTAAAAAAAAAAAAAAAAGAAGGCCTAAAGTAGCTTCCCTCATGCTTGACCTACAATCCTTTGGTAGAAGCTGAGTCTACATTCCACTAATTGAAGCATCATCTGCCCCCCTCTTTCTCTCTCTAAGCCCTTTCTTCTTTGAATAAGGTTACGAATATAGAAATTAGTCACAAAATTAATCACCATATATATATAAATGAATAAGAATTTTAGAATTGAATTTCATTAACAAATCCTGTAAAATCTCATCTATTCATGTATATTGTGTGTTTGAATTTGTCATCAATTTATATATTTATAACATATCTGTTGTTTTTAAGATCTTTCCCAAGGATTCCTTCCAGAAAGAAGATCCTACATATATATAGTATTGCAATATATTGATTGTAGTAATATGTAGTGCAAATGAAGATCCATGCCAGGTTACGCATCTATCTATTATATGTTTTATTTATTTATTATTATTATTTTTGAAGTTTTGCTGGATATTTTATTTGTAGAAGAAATAGTAGACAAAAAAAAAAAAGTAATGCAAAAAATAATGAGTTTAGAAATACATAAACTAGTCGCAGAACAGAACACATATAGACCCTGTTTAATAGGACTTATTTCCAGCTTATTTCAACTTTTAGCTTAATTTAAGCTATTTTGATGTGTTTAGTTCAGCTTAACAATAGAGCTTATAGCTTTTTGTAAGTCAAAAATCAACTTATTCTTTAAGTGGGGGAGGAGAAACTTAATTTATAAGTAAAAAATCAGCTTATGTTCACAGCTAGAAGGTATAAGCTGTTAGGCTATAAGTTATAATCACTCTCCCACAACTCTACCAAACAGGGCCATAATGTATATGGATGTACAAGATTTTTTTAAAAGTGGATCCAATCAACAAATTCTGTAAAATTACTCATTTATGTACATTATGTGTTCTTATTAGTGTTTCAGTTACGAATGTTTAAAGAAAAAGTAATTCATACTCCTTTTCCTTCCAATTTTATTTTTATTGACAATTTTTTTTTTTTTTTTTTTTTTTGTAAATTCGAAATTCAAGCACTATATTAATCTTTTTGGCATTTAAGAAACTTCCTTGAATCTTCATCAACATCTGAGATGTTTCTCTCTCCTGGATTAGTTGTAAATGGTGGTGAGAATGTTGCAATTGCGAGGTACTGTTTTTAAGTAAGTCAATGAAATCATTATGGTGTTGAGAGATTGAAGAGTACAACACCTACCAACCAAAATGAAAATCCCAAAAAAGGTATTTACTATTATTCTCCAAAATGTGGAAGTTTCAATTGTGACCATATTAATGGAGACAAACTAGCTTTTCACTAGGTACAAGGAGTCATTTACTTTACTATAGAATATTGAAAAATTATTTTAAAGTACCATCATAAAGTACTATGCCTTATTGTTATTGATTATTAAAACTGCACGAAAAGAAATAAATAATTTATAATCTCTTCGTTTTGTAATTAATAGTTTTCAAATATTCACATCAATAAATTTTTATTTTAAATTCAAAAATCATTACAAAAAAGAGTTTTTAAAACTTACGATGTTATATTGATTTTGAATTTTGATAATGTGTTGTAATCTTATGAAATAAAATGAAAAAAATAAAAATTTGAATACCAAGGTGGGTATCAGTATACTATATTAATTTATTGAATTAATATTCTAACATAATTAAATAATTAAAGATGACAACTTTATATGTGTGAATGGGCTCTAATACCTCTTTTGGTTGGGGAAATTATATTGACCTAAAATTTCCTACAAGTCCAGTTTTGAAGAATCTTCTTCCTCGTTAAGTGCAATATTTGAACTTATAATTAATTAACCAACAACACAATGCGACAATGATGAACTACTGATAATTCCATAAAGCCCCTTTAATTGCAGACAAACACACTTTTATACGTCCATCAAGTTAGGTTTTGAGTCTCTCTCTCTCTCTCTCTCCAAACATGCACAATATATACAGTGGACACAAAGATAAAGTCCACCATGTCCAATCACTTAAAAAATTAACTGTTTTTATTTTCTTTTTCTTTCTTTTTTTTTTTTTAGGTAAATTGTATTGATCATACTTGGGATTTAAAATATACATGGAGTGTTTTGGAAGGTTGGTAAAAAATTAATTTTTTAACTTTTTAACTTTTTTGGTGACTTTTTTAACAAAAAATTAGATTTTTTTGGATAAAAAAGTTGACTTTTTTGGCTAACAAAAGTTAAAAAACAAAAAAAAATTACTTTTTTAGCTTGTTACCAAAATGCTCCATAATAATTCTCATAAATTAAATACAATTAAACTAATTTCTCTTCTGGTAAAGTTAAAACATACAGAATTAATATAGATAATGTACAAGCACAAGAATAATCAAGAGTAAAATATATTTTTTAGTTTTAAAAAAAATGATCATGTCATTTTTTAATTCATAAGACTAATAAATGGCTAGTAAAAAAGGAACAAACATTATCTGAATTAAAATTTTAAAAGAACCTAGTCTAATTATGTTAAAGTTTTGAAGCTCAATATAATTTTTTGGGAAAATTATGTAAATAGTCCATGTACTTTTCACGATATGTCAATTTGGTTTTTATAGTTTCAATTTGTTCGATTTTGTCCCTTAATTTAACGGATTATGTCATTTTAGTCCAATAAATAATGGTTGTTAAATTAATTTAACAGAAAGTCAAACAATGTGTCAATTTGATCCCTGTATTTTTCACAATGTACCAATTTAGTCCCTGTCAAAATCGAGAAAATTGAAACTACATGGACCAAATTAACATATCTCGTAAAGTACAGGAACCAAATTAACACATTATTTGACATTTCGTTAAATTAAAGTAACAACAGTTATTATATTTGATTAAAATGACATAATCTGTTAAATTAAGGGGTAAAATCGAACAAATTGAAATTACATGAATCAAATTGACACATCATATAAAGTATAAGGACTATTTACATAATTTATCCTAATTTTTTAAATCTCAAGAGAGAAGTTAGCATAATTTCTTTTGCTTTAAATATTTTTTTATTTTATATTGGGTTTCTTAGTTTGTTGGACATGACTCATGAATTCAACTAGTTAACTTTAACTAAATATGATGATGGGTTTGATCAGAGTTTCAGTAGTAGGTAATCCAAACCAAAAAATGACAAATATAGTACCAACAAATTTCAATTTGTTACCCCCACCCCTCTCATGTTTGTTTATTTCCTTTTTTGTTTGTTGCTATTGTTTTTTTTTTTCTTCAAATAAACATTAGCATTGTTATTGTTGATGTTGTGGCTGCTGCAAATCATGAAAAGCACAGTAACCCCTTAATTGTCACTTTGCATAATAGTATACTCTGAGTCAGTCCCACCCATTATTAAGCAAAGCATTCTAGGCCACATGATCAAGGTAATGTTTAGGAATATTAAAATTTTTACTAAATAAATGATCAAATGTCTCATATGGGTATGGAGTTTTATAAATCTCATACATATATGAAATATTTAGTCGTATATTTGATAAAAAAAATTTAAACTTGTAGCATTTTTCCGTGATCAATAACCCCACTCCTTGCAATTTTTTTTAGCTTTTTGGAGGTATAACAGTGTGATAAAACAAAACCACTTTCTTTTGTCAAAAGGAAAAGCCTTTCTGCAACCCAAGTTGCATCCTTAAAAGCACCACACCCCTCTCTCTCTCTCTCTCTCTCTCATTATAATTTCATACTACACCTTAATTAGTTATAACCACATCATTCAACAATTGCCCCAACAGTACTTGAGAACATCCATTTGTGTAAGATTTGTCATTATATATGAAGGATTTAAATTGATTAGGGTAAGTAGTTTAAAGATCCTCATTGAGGTAAGTTATACATTTGAATGTTTTATGTTTAACTCACACCGGTGATCATTGAGTTTTTTAATACAAGTGATTTGTGAGTGATTATATTTGTTACTAAAAATTATGTTAACTCCCAATCGACAAGAATTAAACAAAAAAATTTGACTAAACAATCAAACAAAAGCAATCAAGCAATTGTGGAATTGGTGCAAATGCCTCAAAAGAATGAGGACTTCTTTGAAACAACCGAAAATTACAAAGTAAATGAAGCAAACAACACGTAATTTCAAAAGTGAAACTACTGAATTCACAAAAATTTACAGAGTACAGTAATGAACTACTCCTAAGAGAAACTACTCCTAAATTATGCGAAGTCTAAAACTAACTTTTTGATTGTTGTTTTATGATTGATCCTCTCTGCTCGTCTTCTTCTAGTCAATTTATAAGCATTGATCTTCGAGTAACTGCACCAAGGCAATTTTCCAATCCATATGCACACAGTTAATAGAAGTTACAACTCCTTCATTTGTGTCACACGTTGTGCCACCTACTGGCCTACTATTTGCAAAGTTG